ACAAAATGCAGCCTCAGTCTCTTTCTGCTGGGGGCTCCTCGACTTCAGCTGCGACATCAGGCCCGGGGTCTCGCTCTGAGTTCCTTAAGAGCATAGACCGTCTGCTGCTTGAGTCCAGTCACAGTGTTGCGGGCTCCAGTGAACTGGAGCTACCGTGGGAGTCAGGCATTCTTAAAGAGATATTCTGCCCGGAGCATGCTGCCCCGATCATCCCTTCAGTGAAATTTCCTTTTGAAATTCCCATTTCTTCAGCTTCGAGCCTGGGTGAAGCGGAGAAGCTCGCAAAGCCGGAGCCTCGATCCTGCAGCTTCTTTAAAGCCGTTTCTCAAAAGGTCAGAGTGGTGAAGGCTCCGATCAGCCCTCTTGATAAACGTGAGCTGCTTTGCCAGCGGTTCCATGTGTTGCTGTCGCACTCTTATTCGGGTTCTAGGCTAGGGGGGATACTTGCCAAGGAGTCTTTTGAGAAGGGAACGCAACTTGTCTCGGATGCACTTGGGGGTAAAGCCCTGTCTACCCTCCAGAAAAGGTACGGGCAATTATCCAAGTACGTCACTTGGTGCAACGACACAGGATGCATAGGCTTCCCCCTTTCTTCGGATCTTGTGCGGCAATACACCGAGTTTGCAGTGAAAACCAAAGGGCATGGGTCAGTGTCCAGCAACCTTGAGTCTTTCAACTTTGCGATCTATGTCCTTGGTGTTTTCAATAATGAGCCTCTCCGGTCTGACCCGGTCCTGACAGGACGTGCTCGTCGCGAGAGATTGAACAAGCCTCCCAGGAGGCAGGCTCGCTCGTTTCTCGTTGCAGAAGTGCTTCACCTCGAGGGTTTCCTTGCATCCGAATCCAATGCACTTTTGGACCGATTTGCCGCTGGTTGCATGCTCTTCGCGATCTTTGCCAGGGCGAGGTTAGGCGACTTGAAGTCCGTGTCAAAGTTCACGCTTGACCTTGCAGAGCCATCTGCAGACTGCGCCGAAGGGTTTTTGGAGTGTTACTCTTATAGCCATAAGACTAAGTCTCTTAGCAATGCGCTCGGCTTCAGGTTGCCTCTTGTAGCTCACGTTAAAGGACTTGGGCCTCGCATCTGGGGGCTTGACTTCTTGGAGGTTGCACGGCAAGTGGATCAAGACCTTCTTCAAAAGGACGATGGTTCCGCGCTGTTGTGTGTGCCCACGTCTGTGGGCTCCTTGCTCAACCATCCAATCAAGAATGAAGCCTTCGTGGTGTGGATCAATGGCATCCTTAAGGATCTCCCCTTCTTCGGAGGTCACTTCACCGGCCACACAGCAAAGTCTACCTTACTTCCTTGGTTGGCCAAATGGGGCGGCTCTGAGGATGACAGGGCCATTCTTGGGCATCACATGCCTAAGAGCAAAAGCGTGGCCACTTACAGCAGAGATCTTCAGGCTGGGCCTTTGAGAGTGCTGTGGTCTCTTCTATGTGACGTTCGGTCTGGAGCTTTCCTTCCTGATTGCACACGCTCTGGCCGCTTTGTCCGTCAAGTCGATGATCCAGGAGTGGAGCCGGCCCTTGATGCTCTTCCTGGTTTCTCTGATGGGGCCCTCAGCCCTGACCTCGCCTCGGCGCCTTAGGTGAGGTCCAAGAGCCTGTGAGCATGGGCAGCGAGGTTGGCCCTGATGAGGAGTTGGCGTGGTACCGCAACCAAGAGCTGGAGGATGCCGACGTCGATGCTTTCATCAACGCGAGCCGTGGCAGTGAGCTTGAGCCCCGGGGTCTCTCAGACCCTCCGCCCGAAACGGGGGCTTCTGATGATCCCCATGCGGAGGGGGACCGAGATGGCAGCGGTTCAGACTCTGAATCGAGCTCGAGTTCCAGCTCTTCTTCGAGCTCTACAAGTGCTGATGAAAAGGTCCAGGCAGCAAGCGACTTAGCATGCAGATTGAGGCATCACGTCGTGGAGGGATGCAAGCTTTACCAGCATTGCAGGACAAAGACTGTGCATCGCATGCTTGAAAACTCGAGCGATGATAAGTTTGTCTGTGGCAGGCCTCTCACCAAAGACCATCGCCCCTTCAGGACCTTGGTCAAGATCACCGCTTGGGATTGCAAGCAATGCGCTCAGAGAAAGCCGATTAGCAACACCGGCGCCCTTGTCGGTGCGCTTGATGCTGCCTTGGGCAAGCGTTGACATCCCAGTGCGCTGGGCCTTCGGCGTCAAGAAAATTCTTTTAACGTGCTGTGCTAACTTTCCTTCAGAAGGAAAAATGGCAATGTGTTGGGCACCTCTCTGCCTAAACCTGACGCGCCTTGTCGGCTGCTGAGAAAAGAAATCGTGACTGGGTTTGTCACTCATCTGCCTCCGCATGCTGACTGTTGCGCGCGGCTTTCCGCCGCTTCCACTGACCAGTGCGACTTCATGGTCGGGTTTGTCACCCTTCTTCCTGTGCGAAGTATTACTTCACTTGAATCTTGAAGAGATCTTCTTATGAGCGGCTTCCCGCTGCATGGGTTTGACACCCATCTTTCAGAAGCTCGGGAGTTGCTTCCGGGAGTTGCTTCTAAAGTGCGTGGCTTTCCGCCACTTCCTCTTCGGAGCATGGGTTTGTCACCCATTACTCGGGAGCAGTCTCGAGAGTTGCTGCTGATTTGTGTGGCTTTTCGCCACTTCCTCTTCGGAGCCATCGCATCGTTCACGAAGCTTGGGCTCTAGGATCGTGTAGTATCAGCCATGTCCCTGCTGAAATCTGAGGCGGCATTTGAAGAACTTGCCACGGAATGTGGCCTTTCAAGTGCACAGCTGCTGATCCTGAAAGGGAAAGGTGTCTCGACGATGTCGTCATTGGCCTATGCTGTCACCACCCCGGGTGTGCAGCCTACGGAGCTTGCCCTTCGTCAGCTTTTGGATACTGCCACTCCTGAAGCTGTTTCAGTTGGTGCCTTATCATCCATTCGACGCTGTGTGTTTGAGTGCCAGACCTGTGTTGTGCAGCAACTTAAGCTCTCAGTCGAAGGGCACGAGGGGGACAAGAAGTATGACCTCCCGCCTGCTGAACGCACCAGCCGCATTGCCGCTCAAAAGACCAGGCTTGTCGGTTTTGAGTTAACCGGCGCGATGGAGTGCGCATACTCTTGCTACACTCTTGTGGGCTCCATGCTTGAAGCCGACTCGCCAATTTACTTGGAGCCCCATAGGTTCATCACCAGGCAACAGGAGGTTTGCAGAGAAAAGCCCAAGCGTGAGATCGTGCTCGATGGGGGCACCAAGCTCACTGTTCGTGATCAGCAGAGTCGTGATCGTTGCCAGATCACCAATGAACTTCAGCTCTGGCAGGCTCTTACACGTCGGAGCTTAGCCTGTGACCTTATGGGTGCCATCAGCTTCCAGGTGCAAGAATCTTGGCACCGCTTTCTGTTCGATCGCATGGCTCAGCCTCCCCCTCCGAGGTGCAGCAAAGTTTCCATGGAGCAATTGTTGAGGGCTGATCGTCAGGCTTGGGTTCAGTTGGCCGAGACGGTTAAGACGCTTAAGAGGGATAGTGCCGGCGTGTTGCCTCTTGATGCTGCCTTCCCGGGTCTTCGCACTGACCCTGCTGTCCTGTTCAACATCCTTCCTTTGAGGTCGCCTGATCCTCCTCAGAAGACCCCGAATCCGGATAAGGGCAATGGTAAGGGCCTTGATAAAGGAATCAAGAGGGACTCTGACGGCCAGCCTCGCAAAGAGTCCCAGCTTCCTGATGCCCTCAAGAACATTCCAAACCTTAAGAAGAAGACCTCGAAAGGCAAGCGACTTTGTTGGGCATACAACATCAAAGACAGGGGGTGCAGCCATGCTGAGGCTGGCAAAGCTTGTCGCTTCGGTCTTCACTTGTGCATGCGCTGCGAGAAGCCTCACCCCCAGTTCGAATGCCCTGCAGCTTCTGCCTCTTGACTCTCGCGCGAGTCCGGGGAGACCTGCACTGACGAGGCACCTCAGGTATCGGCTCCTTGTGCAAGCTCCCCTATCCCCATCTTAGATGACATTTTTCCTTTGCTGCCTGACAAGGTTGATGCTTCTGCCGAGGTTAAACATCCGGCCGAGGAATTTTCGCTGGGTGTATTGACATCTGGCACCGCTCCTTCGCGCAAGGACGTTTTGCATCTTTCCACACTTCTTCCCTTTGATGCTCCTCAGCCTTCTCGGGATTTAGGTAGTGCCGGTCAATCGTGGACCACGGGTCTGTACACCAAAGGTGGTATCACGGCCCTTCGATCTAATGTAAAATCCTTTCCATTTTCGTCTTCTCTGCTTTTTGCTTTCATCAGAACCATCAGTCCTTCCTTCGAGTGCACCAGTGCTGCTCTCTTTGTCGACACGCAGACAGCCCTGCATCGCGACAGCTACAATGCGCACCTTCCCAATCTGTTGATTGGGGTCAACTCCTTCTCAGGTGGCCAACTTTGGCTCGAGGGAGAGGGACCTCATCCAGTGACCGATCCTTCAGGTGCCCAACTTCTTGGACAGCTACACGAGGTCTCCCTCAGTCATCTCACTTTCGATGCTTGGAAACACAGACACTGCACAATGCCTTTTTTGGGGTCTCGCGTAGTGGTAGTCGGGTTCTCGGTTGCTAGACACGAGTCGATGCCTCTGGCTTGCCGCAGTGCTCTTGTATCCTTGGGTGTGCCCTTGCCTTCCATTGAGTGTGGTACCGATGGTGCTCCCGTGCTGGAGCCTCTTCCGCCAACTGTGCAACCCTTCTTGGACAGAGTTAAACTGCGTATCTCTAACCGTCCCTCGAGTGACCTAGCATTCCTTGAAATCTTTGCCAGGCATGGTGGTGTGTGTGCGGCTGTGCGCAGCCTCGGCATGCAAGGCTTTGCAATCAATCGTCATCCCCGAAACACTCGGGCTCCTGTTGTTCCGTTGGATCTTTCCACTGACAGTGGCATTTCGCTTTTGCGAGACATCCTTTCGAAGGATAATGTTGTTGCTGTGCACATGTCACCTCCTTCCAACTTCAGTGACCTTGCAGTAAGCATTTACACGGAGTGTTGCGCCAATGGTCTTCTTTGCTGCCTTGACGCCCCGTGCAGCTCCAACCTTTGGAAACTTCGTGACCTCCGGGGTGCCTGTCCGCAAATCTCCACCCACTACAGTCCTTGCTTCGTGCACGACGGGCTGTGTCAGCATAGGCGCCTGCTTCACAACTTCCCTGCACTGTCAAGCCTTAGCTTTCCGTGTGGAGGGGGATGCAAACCACCAAATCCGGCGTTGCCTTTGTCTTCGTCCCCTGGTCAGCTTTGTGCCATGGTAGCAAGGGCCTTTGCTGTTGAATTGCAACACCAGGGTGCTCGGTTTCCAGCAGCAGAACTTCAGGAGCTTGGGCTCCCGTTGGCACGAGCCGCTCAGGTTGCCTCCGGAAAGCAACCCAAAGGCAAACGTGTTCCGCCTTTGGTCTCTGAGTACAAGTCCATCATCACGGTCACTGGCCCTTCTTGTGCTATGCCCCCGAAGCAACTCTCGGAAGATTGGGCCATTCCTGATAAAGTCTTGTGCAAGCCCTCCTTAAAGCGGCTACCCAAGACCGCCAAGCTGATTCGCACTGTGCCGTCTGCTGGGGGTCCCTGCAGTGCTACTCGACAACTTGGTTCTGATAATTCGGGTTTAGCCCCTTCCGATAGTTCGGGTTTACCCCCTTCCTCCCCTGTGGACGACTCCTTAAAACCTGGCGCCCTGCTTGATGCCTGTTCGAAGCCTGGCGATGGCCACTCTCTTGGCGCAGCCCCGCATGAGGAGCGAACTTATGGTATCGCGTGGACCCCAGAAGAGTTCGTCAAACAGGCTCGCGGAGCTCTACACCCCAGGCGTATCGAAAATGGTGTGCCAAAGATTTTAAAAGAGACCATTGTGCGATGCGCCCAGGAGTCACCTGCCGACCTTGCCAGGGAACGCACTGCTACGTTGAGGAGGTGGATGCTTACCTCCGAGGAGGCGGTCTCCCGTGCAGATCCCTCCGACATGCCCGACCACTGTGCCGCAGTTCTTGGTAAGAAATCTATGAAGGTCTTCAAATCGCTCTTGACTGAGGCCGAGTACCCGGACACAACCTTGACCAAGGACATCTCAACTGGGTTTAACCTTCTAGGCCCCATACCCGCATCTGGAGTCCTTCCCTCTAAGGTTTCCGCTGCCTCGCTTACCGTTGAGGATGTTCGTGCAGCCACTCCCCTTGCCAGGAAGGCCATCCTTGCCTCTACCAGAGAAGGTTTCGACCGCGAGGTGGCTGAAAGTGTTTACCAGCTTACGAAAGATGAGCTTGCGAAAGGGTGGCTTAAAGGACCTTTTAAGGAATCGGACATCCCCCCGGATGCCATAGTCACTAGAAGGTTTGGGATAGTGCAATCCTCCACCGATGCCAAGCTAGGGTCAATCAAGAAGGTGAGACCAATCGATGATTACACGGAATCTCTTGCTAATCTCACAAACAGTGCTAGCGAGACGATCTGCCCTCACGGGGTGGACGTTGTGGTCGCAGCATTGTGCCTTCGCATCAGGTCGGCCCGGAAACTCGGCAAGCGCGAGCAACTTGTTCTTAGGACGATAGACCTTAGAAAGGCCTATAAGCAACTTCCTTTAAGCACTGAAGCTTTGTATGATTCTTTCATAGCTGTGCTCAACCCTCACAGCATGGAAATTGAAATATACCAGACAGTTGTGCTGCCCTTCGGCAGCAAGCCGGCCGTTCAGGGATTCTACAGAACTGCCTTCGGCCTTTGGTGGATCGGAGTCCGGAGCCTGATCCTGCCATGGTCTCTGTATTTTGACGATTTCGTCTTACCCTGCTCGTCCGACGAGCAAAAACATCTTGACTTAGTCCAGTCAACATTTTTCAGGATCGTTGCCTGGGAAACGTCCTCCGAAAAAGACAGTGGTTTTGATGCAGTAGCCAAAGTCTTAGGAGTGCAAATATCCTTGGCTGATTCTAAGAATGGATTGATCTCAGTCCAGAATACCGAGGCCCGCAAACGCGAACTCTGCTCATCCATCGATGAGGTCCTGACCCGAGGCTTTGTTGGCCAAAATGAGCTTCTCTCTCTACGAGGGCGACTCCTGTTTGCCGAGAGTCAAATCTTTGGACGATCAGCTTCGCTTCACATGCGCAACCTCTCGCACTTCTGTCAAAAGCACGGCAGACTTGTGGTTGGTGCTAGCTTAAGGGCCTCCTTGACTTTCTTGAGGGACCGTGTAGTTCTTGGCAAACCAAGGTGTGTAGACTCGAGTCTTCGACAAGTGTATCACGTGTACACTGACGCTTCCTACGACGATCAAGGGGGTGGCCTTGGTGGTTTGGTTTACGACTTTAAGGGTCTGTGCCTTGCCTGGTTTAGTGAAGTAGTCACCTCCAAGGACCTTGAGATCATCAACCCTGATGGTAAACTTACCTTGATCTACGAGCTAGAAACCCTTGCCGCGGTCTTGGGTGCCACCCTAATCCCTAACCTGCGCCACTGCGACATTGTGCTCTTCGTCGACAACGAAGCTTCACTGGCAGCTCTCATCCGAGGACAATCCGATTGCCCTTTCGTGCAGTCTCTTCTCTCCCGCCTCTTTCAGGCTGAAGAAGAGCGTGATCTTGCGATCTGGTTCGAGCGTGTTCGCAGTGAAAGCAATCCTGCAGATGCCCCTTCGCGGGGCGACCACAGTTTTCCCGCCTTTTCCAGGCGGCGCTTCAATGTGCAATCCTTGCTGACCGATCTTTGCGGTTCTCTTCAAGGGGGGGCCTCGCAAGGTACCGATCTGTCAGCTCCCACTGCGAGTTAAAACGAAGACTATGTCCGAGTGTTGCCTGCCGCATTTGATTATCAATTCGCAAATATATTTGTGATTGATTTTTCATATATCTCATTTATAAACAAGACGCAGAGAATAAGAAGAACTTCCTCCGAAGGAGGACGGATTTTTATTCTCAAGTCTTGTTTTCAACAACTTGGTTTTTCCAACCTTGGTTGTTTTCCACCCTTTTTTCATGCTGAACTTTTGCCAAGCTCTGTTTTCCAGTTGCCTTTTCGGCTTCAGTTCGCTTTTCGCCCACCCTCCTCACCCTTTGGCTTTTCGCCTTTCTCCTTTTGCCAGTTTCACTCCTTGTTCTTTATGGCCTAACCCTGCCGTTGGGCCTCGCAAGGTACCGATCTGTCAGCTCCCACTGCGAGTTAAAACGAAGACTATGTCCGAGTGTTGCCTGCCGCATTTGATTATCAATTCGCAAATATATTTGTGATTGATTTTTCATATATCTCATTTATAAACAAGACGCAGAGAATAAGGAAGTATAATCCTAAGTCCGGTTCTTCTTTCCAAGCAACAGAAACTGCCTTAGGAGCCAAGAAGCCGAAGGAAGACAGGCGATCTTACACAAAGATCCCGGAAGGTCGTTGTCCGGCTTGTGCAGGACAAAAGAAGCCTCACACTTTCCTGAAGGGATGTGACAAAGCACCGGAAGGTGCAGCAGATCCACCACCCCAGGGCATTCCTGGCAAAAAGAAGGCACCTCCACCAGAACCATCTGGTGAACCACCTGAGCCTGCCGAATCATCGGAACCAGCATCAGGCTCAAGAGACAAACCTCCAGAAGTTTCGGAACCACCCGAACTTCCTTCTGAAGAGAAGCCTGAGCTTCCACCAGGAAGGGTAAAGACTCCAAGAGGTCTCAAAAATCTTCTCAAGAAGAAGAAATATGCAGTTAAACCTCCAGTGGAGGAGAGATCTGTTGTCCCAGGAGCTGATCACGGGACGGAGGTAGAACCACTTGAGTCAAGAGAATACCCTGCTCCTAGGACAGACTCACCAACAGGTGAGGGAGACCACGGAGAGGAAATTGTACCGGAACCGGCACCCTCTCTTCCTATTGCCCTTCGTAGGATTCACGAGAAGCTCAAGGATCCAGTTGAACTCTACAAGCTTCATCTGAAGCATCGTCACATGAACATAGATCAGTTCAAAAGAAGGACAAAGGCTCTTCAGATTCCGAAGGAAATTTATGAGCTCTATGACCAACTGGTCAAGAAGTGCTCAGCTTGTCAGGAACACAAACGAGCCCCTTCGCGGGCGAAAATATCAGGTCTGAGATCCGAAACCTTCGGGGATCTAACTTTCGTAGACCATGGTGAATTGCCAATTCCTGGCAAGGCTAGTCGACTTATATTTCTCATACTTTATGATGGAGCGACAAACCTCCTGACATCTGAAGTTGTTCAGGACAAGGAGGAACATACTACCATGTCCATCATGAATGACTATTTTGAGAAATACCAGATCAACCCAAAGGTTGTAGTTGGAGATCAAGCCTTCATGACTCCAAAAATGGAGGCCTATTATAATCGGCAGAATATCAAACCTGTAGCCGCAGGCCCAGGTACACCATGGCCTAACAGGGCCGAGGCAGCTGTACGATTGCTAAAACATCAGATTAAGATCATACTTCAGATTCTCAAGGATGGTGATCCGGAATATAATGGTATCACTATGAAGTATGGTAACTTAGTGCGTCAGGCATGTTTGGCAAGAAACTCCTCAATTACATACGGGGGAGTAACTCCTCTAGAGATGGCTTTTGGTAGACGTCCTCGAGACGTTATAACGCCCGAGAATGCAGATCCCAATCAGTTGACCGGAAATCCTTACCGACACTGAGGTTACTGCAAGAGCCATCAAGGAACTTGCCAACAAAGCCTACCAAGAGGCACGCCAATCTGATGACCTCAGGAGAGATCTCGCATCGAGGCTCTCGATGACCGAAGGACCTTTCTCTCTGGGAGATAAGGTCTATTATTGGTCAGAAGACAAATCAAAAATTGGATCAACCGGATCCAAACATGGATCCTGGCTAAAAGGAAAGGTTATCTCCGAACTCGGAGGTTCCATGGTAGGTGTTGATCTAGGCACTCGTATTGTGCGAGTGAATATCTCCAAACTGAGAAAGAACTATGACATCACATCTGATGTAGAGATTCCCTTAGCACCTGATGAAGAAACTCATACATCAGAAGGTTCAGACCATGCCAGCTGTATGGTCACCTTTGATGCGTCCCTGATTTCATCAGATCTGACAATACCTCACCATGAGTGTCACTGGCAGGTCACCAGTTCAGGAAAGATCGACTTCCTGGAACTCTACGGAGGATCACCTCGTATGAGTCACAAGGCTGCCTTATCAGGATTGAGAGTCGGACAGCCGATAGACCTGCGCAGTGGATTAGATCTTGAACAGCCACAAGGCCGTTCAAAGCTTCTAAGGATAATCAAAGAACAAGAACCTACCATTATTGTGATGTCTCCGGACCACTCCCAATGGTCCAGTTGGTATTCCCAGTGGAAGAAAGGCTCTAGCAAGAGACTTTCGACTCTCAAGTTTTGTGAATCTATTGCAGATCACCAAATGAAACTTGGGCGATATTTCGTCCTAGAAAATCCTTACTACAGCAAGCTTTGGTCAACACCAGAAGCAAAACGATTGTTCTCCAACCCAAAGGTTAGCTATGAGGTATGCAATCTCCAGGCCTACGGTATGCAAGATCCAAAAGGATACTATGAGTCGAGATCTTCGATCTTCATGCATAACCTGCCACAGCAGGTGCTGACTCCTATTCATAGGAATATCCCAAGGCCGAAATCTCCAACCTCTTCACCCAAGGGTGAAACGGGTATTCAAGGCTACGGTCTCAAGACTAAGCTGGCGCAAGTGTATCCGTACGAATTCTGTGAGACCTTTGCCTCATGCATGGCAAGGTTTCTGCGCCGAGATTCGTATGCATCGCATCTCTCCTTGCTGACCGATATCTTGCAGTATTCAGGAGACGAATGTCTCCATGGATTGTGCGATTTGCTCGATCAAGAGTATTCTTTTCTCACAATCAATCCTCTCAAGGATTCTAAGTTGCTACAAGATCCAAAAATCCGATCACTTGTGACCAGAGTTAATTCTCTATCGAGTAAGACCGAGTTACCATTGCATCATTCCAAACCATCACCGTCCCTGGATGCGTTGGTATCGGATAATACTCATTTGAGATCCAGACTTTTGCCAGGCTCTGGCTTTGAGCAGTGTACTCTTTACAGAGGCACTTTTGGCACCATGAAAACACTAACAAGTGTTACAGATGGCGTTCTTGTATTTTGGAACAAGAAACGACCCAATCAGACCATGACCTGTTGTCTACCGCATCAGGTGTCCTGGAACAAAATGCACCCTACCACATTCTCGGGGGTGCTGTTCCAAATGACTGGTGGCAAATCTTCGCCGTCTGTCCGGCCGCCACCAGATGTCATTATGTCTGACGAGGAGGTCTCGCCATCGGACCCGTCAGAACCCATGAGCACCAACCGGTCTCGCGTTACGTCTGACGATGCCTCTATGCCTGAGCCAGATCAATTTATGTCTCCTGGCGTTCCTCCGTCGCGTCCTCCTCCTCCCTTGCCTCCACCGCGACTTCCGGCCGTGTCATCCGATGAGCCCGTGGCTCCTGCTCGGGCTAAGCCTCGCCTACATCCGCCTCCTCGCGCGCCGTCTCCTCGGCGTCTGGGGGGTGATGTGTCGCCAAGGTCTTCATCGGAAAGAAAGGTTTCGCCGCACAAACAGAAGTCACCTCCACAGGTGCCTACTCCAAAGCCTAAACCGAAGGCGTCACCGCAACAGTCAGGACCGATTCTCCCTCTACAACAGGATGATGGAGAATCCTCGGAAGAGATGGTCCCCGATGATCCCGGACAACCGTCCGTTCTTCCTCATACGTCAGGTTCTCCTGAACCAGAGAGTGATGCTGAGTCTGATGACACAAGGTACTACTCCGACGAGGAAGGTGATCTTGTTGTGGACGAGAAGGACTGGATTCTTCTATCTGAAGAACAGAAACTGTGTAGCAACACAGGATCCTTCTCAATTACATTCACGGCGGCCCTGTGGACATCCGAGAGGTAACTTCAAGAGTGAGATCGGACCGAACACGGTATGGACCATCCAAGAAGATTCGATCCGATATCCGTGAGGAGTATGATCTCCTAACGGAAGAGGACAAAGCCTTATCTGTGAGTCCCCACAGGAATTTATCCAATCTTACCCAGAAGGCACAACGGAAGGAAGCAACCGCTAAGGAGAAGCGAGAAATGAAGAAGCAGTTCGACGAGGCAAAGGCAGCTGAGTATCAGAGCTGGCTGGACAATGATGTGTTTGAGCTTGTAGACACACGCAAGCTCGGAAACATCCGAAATTATGTGACAGGTCGATGGGTCCTAACTCTAAAAAGAGATAAGGATGGAAACTTCCTGAAATGCAAGGCCCGTTGGGTTTTACGAGGTTTCCAAGATCGACAGAAGGATATCCAGCAAACTGATAGTCCTGCCGCCAGTCGTCCAGGCTTCCGTTTGGCGATTCAATTAGCAGCTAACAAGCTGTGGAATTTGACTCACATTGATCTTAAGACCGCCTTTCTGCAAGGTGAGGCATACGATGAGTCTCGGGACATAGTCTGCCAGATTCCTCCTGAGGCAGGTTATCCTACTTACATAGCTGCGAGGATGAAGAAGCCCGCATACGGACTCAACGATGCACCTCGCAGGTGGTGGAATATTGTAGACAAGGCCCTCCTGTCCTATGGCCTCGTTCCGACTCGTGCGGACCGTTGTACATATGTTCTGTACGGTAAGAAGTCTGCAACAGCAGAGGCGGAACTTAAGAAGTCTCAGCCGAAGTCAATGGAGTCAGCAATCGACTATCTCCTTGATCCCATAGCAGGCAATAATGCCAAGGGTAGAGAAGTTCATGGAGT